ATGGTAATAGGACTGAGTGGAGTCCAATTTGGTCTGTAATCATACGAGTGATTAACAAAATCGGACGACCGCGAAGCGGGAGTCTGATTTGTTAATCACTCGTATGATTACAGACCGAATTGGACGACGTGAAGCCCTGTTACCAATTAATCAAAACTATTACAAAATTCGAGAAACGAACAAACCATTGATTGAGCGTTGAACGATTAAATGTCGTTGTGAATGCTGAAAAACACAGCAGTGTACTCAACAAAGTGCACCCCAACTGAGCACGCAAAATGATGCGTACTGTCCAATTACAAGCATGACGCGTACACTGTCCAATTAATGCTCAAATCGGGCTGCTGATAGCCAATCACGTTCGAGAATTTTGTAATAGTTTTGATTACTCCCTGAATCGTGCTGTAATCTGTTCAGTTACTATAACTAATTGCACAGTAGCAAACGTGAAGTGCATAATTTTAATCTCAAACAAGTTTCTGTTAGAAATTATCAGATTTTACTAATTCTGGTCAGTTATAAAACGAATCCTGCAACACACCAATGAAAATATAAAGTGCGTTATCTACCTCCATCACTGAAATCTCTCCATATATTTCGCTTTGGACGAGATAAATTGATTTCATCAATCCAAGTATAAAGTTCTTGAAGTCCTTCCTCGTCTAAAGTGGTAATAAGCTGATTTGGCGAGCCCAATACACCAGACATAACGTAAATATAGCTTTAACGTTCAACTTGACCTTTTATAAATCGTAGTGTTTGCCATATCATCTATAAATGCTACGCAATATCCCTTGAAACTGTCACAATTACACACTGTTCAGACCGCCATATTGTTTTACACTCATTCTGTTGTCATGACGTCAAAACACCACAGCAATGCAGCATGGGACGTAATTGATAAATATCCAATATGGCGGCCGTATTAACGAGATAGAACACCTTGGGCTTTCTGTGAGTGTTGTATTGAAATTCATTGCATTGTTTTGCTTTTTTATCTCGTTCTTTGTCTTTAGAACAGCACTGTATCTTGTCTTTTATTTCTTTTGTATTATGTTGTCTGTGACCGGTGCCTACAGAAGGGACTGCACAGCCGGGACAGAACACAGAACAGAAGTTCATCGAGAAAAAGCCATTTTCCCAATGGCTTTAAATTCCACACAGTCCACAGAAAGGTCTTCTTCCGATACTGGAAGAAGTGCTGATAGAGACTGGCCTGATTTCGTTTGCGGTGCTGGTGCAGCAGCCACAAATATTATCGTAACTTTTCCCGCCTACAAAGTGATGTTTCGACAGCAAGTGGAAGGATTAAGATTTCGCAAGGCGTTAAGACAGGTCCTAAGAGAAGGTGTTTCAAACCTTTATCGGGGAGTTGGACCTCCGTTGATGCAAAAAGGGACTTCATTATCTATTATGTTTGGCGCCTACCACAAGTTTCAAAAAGAACTCTCTCGGAATTTCACTGGCATGGCTTCAGTTACGACAAATGCCTTGGCCGCAATGCTAGCTGGAACTATGGAAGCAATCTTAACGCCATTTGAACGAGTGCAAACGTTACTGTCTCATCGTGGCCATAATGAGAGGTTCGTCAACACATTTCATGCGTTTAAGGTTGTAGGGATGCAATATGGTTTCCGTGAATATTACCGTGGTCTCACGCCTATACTGTGTAGAAATGGACCTTCTAATGTGTTATTTTTCGGCCTGCGGGGTCCAATAAAATCCATGTTACCTGAAGCAAAGACTAATATTGGCAATGCAGCCAATGATTTTGTGAGTGGAGCAGTTTTAGGAGCTTGTCTGAGTACTTTCTTCTTTCCAGTTAATGTTGTTAAAAGCCACATGCAAAAACAGCTTGGTGGAGAGTTCGTGAGCTGTCTCAGAGCTTTCACTGTGGTTTTCAATGAGCGGGACAGGAGAGTACGGCGCTTGTTTTATGGAGTACCGCTCAACTACACAAGGGCTTTATTGTCTTGGGGAATGATCAACTGTACGTATGAACTTTTGAAGAAGTTGATTTGTTATGGAAATTTTCTTAGTAACAAGAAATATGCAAAGACATAGTTAGCATGATG